TGAGTGTGTGCGTGAGTGGTTGGGTGAATGAGCGAATGAGTGAGCGTGTGTGTGCGCGAGTGAGTGCGTGAGTGGTTGGGTGAATGAGCGAATGAGTGAGCGTGTGTGTGCGCGAGTGAGTGCGTGAGTGGTTGGGTGAATGAGCGAATGAGTGAGTGTGTGCGTGAGTGAATGAGTGATTGAGTGAATGAGTGGGTGAGCGAGTGCGTGAGCGAGTGAGTGAGCGAGTGAGTATGTTGTTGTGAACTGCATTGTGGTGGTGGTTGAACACAATGCGGATGAGACATTTACCGAGAAGAGCCCATCGAAATGGGTACAGGAATCAGTAAGCAAAGTAACATTTGCAGTAACTGTACAAAAAATAAACCCGATAAAGTTGCGAGGTGACCAGCAGTAGATTCCTAAATCTATCCGTGCGGAGCTTTGCGTTTACGTCTCCTCCCTGGGCATTCTCCGGATTTCCTCCCAAACGAAGCCAACCCTGTCATCCCCAATGGAGCAAGACCCTCCTGACAAGGAGTTTTTGAGCCTCGGAAGCGTCTACAGACGGAGGCTTGGAGCGGTGATGAAGCGGTTCAGCCATCGCGCTACGAAACGCGGCCACCTGGGGTCGACTAACCCGACCACGGCTCACATCGTTTTCGCGGGCGGTATCTGAACCCGTGTCTGGGCTTCCCCTAGGTCGACTCAAGCTGACACGAGTAGAGCACCGCGCGTTGCGGTGCGTGAAGGAAGACAAAGGCGGCCGGGGGGGTTTCTGGCCGCAACGCTCGTGGCGCCGTTCACGGCCTCGAGACGGTGCTCGCTAACAGCACTTGCCGCAACAGCTTGTCGCAGCTATACGGGGGATCTTTGTCTTCGTAACCTGACATCAATGTGTGTATGTCCACGTGGTATTTAAACTGCGTCGAAGGCGAGCGGACACGTCGATCTGTTCCTCTCTACGCGATGCGCTCATCAAAGTTTCGTTCGTGACTACGGCGATTTTGGCAACGTTCGGTGAAGAACGAGAGGATTGATGATTTCTGATGATTTCTGGCGGGTCGTGGCGCCATGAGGTTCAAATGTCTCGAAACATAAGTGCGTGCATAATCATTTAGAAGCTGTCATCGATTCACTTCTGGATGAATGGGAGTTGGTGGTTGAGCCTACTTCACCGCGCTGGTGAAGTCGTATTCGTGAGTGCGTAGTGGGGCAGTGGTTCGCGCCCTCACTGGAAAACACCGGTGGCGATTTTGTTGAAACCCGGTCCTGGGCATTTAGGTCGACTCAGCCTCAAAATGAGTACCCTAGAGCGGTGTGTAGTAAACATCGGCACTGGGGAGACAAAGGCGGCCGGGCGTGGTGCTGGCCACTCACCCCCTCGTGCGTCGTGCCGACCTCCATACGTGCTCGCTAAATCGCACTTTGCCCAACAATTTATACTGCTACACGGGGGACCTTTGTCTGTTTGTACCTTTGTATATATATCTATGCATTGGTCTGTATATATGTGTGTGTAGGTATATGCACGTATGTGATATGTGTACATTCCAAGTAACGTCATATACGATCAATGTATTTGTATACGATTAAGTGTATCGATATATACAATGAATAAACAACTGACCTTAGTCCATCAGCTTGTTCACTTTTCCGGTTTCGACATTCCGGGCCTCATCAGATATGTATACAGTATATTTATGTGTTCAACGTCATATGTGTGTGTATACGCCGATGTGTATATGTAATCGATTACTATCTTCTCCGCACATGCATACACATACACTTACATTCGCCGTTATGAATTAAAGCTAATCACACAAAGAACCCCCGTATAGCCTTAGCAGACTGTTGGGGCAAGTGCCGTTAGCGCGAGCACCTGTGAAGGTAGCGATTAGGTAGCCATCAAACACGCCCCACCGCCTTTGTCTCCCCAGCGGCGACGTTTAACAACATCGCACCGGCTACTGATTTGACGTGAGGCCGGGGACCGATGCAGACAATCTTCGCCGGTGTTCACGGTGGCCGTGAGCGGGAATCGAACTCGGGTCGACGGGTCCGTAGCGCAGCGCGATAACCGCTACACTACCGCCCACACACACACACACAAAGACAAGATCCCCCGTATATCCTTAACAGACTGTTGGGGCAAGTGCTGTTAGTGAGCACCTATGAAGGCCGGCACGGCTCACGAGGGGGTAGGTGGGTGGCCAGCACCACGCCCGGCCGCCTTTGTCTCTCCAGTGGCGGCGATGTTTAGACACCGCACCAGTCACTCATTTGAGGCCGAGTCGACCTAGAGGAGGCCGAGAACCGGTTCAGATAATCGTCGCTTGTGTTGGCCGTGAGCGTGAAGCGAACTGGGGTCGACGGGTTCGTAGCGCAGCGCGCGAACCTCTATACTACCGCTCTTACACACACACACACGTACACACTACACACACACGTACACACACACACGTACACACACAAAGCCAAATATGTCCATTATAGCCATCTAGACTCTTGGGGCAAGAGCTGTTAGCGAGCACCTATCAAGGCCGACACGGCTCACAAGGCCTGCAACACACACGCCGCCCGGCCGCCTTTGTCTCCCCAGTGATATATGTTGTTGTTACGCACCATATAGACATTTAGAGGCTGAGTCCACCTAGAGGAGTTCTTGAACTGGTTTAGGTCGCCGTGAGCGAGAATTAAATTCGTGGCCGCCAGGTTTGTATCGAGGTGCCCTAACCGCACACAACAGACACACAGCACACACACAGCACACACAGCATACACACAGCACACACACACAGCACACACACAGCACACACACAGCACGCACACACAGCACGCCTACACAGCACACACACACAGCACGCACACACAGCACACACGGCACACACACACACAGCACACACACACACAGCACACACACAGCACACACACACAGCACACACAGCACACACAGCACACACACAGCACACACACACATTACACACACAGCACACACACAGCACGCACACACAGCACGCCTACACAGCACACACACACACAGCACGCACACACAGCACACACGGCACACACACACGCAGCACACACACACAGCACACACACAGCACACACACACAGCACACACAGCACACACAGCACACACACAGCACACACACACATTACACAGCACACACACAGCACACACACAGCACGCACACACAGCACGCATACACAGCACACACACACAGCACACACACACACACAGCACACACACAGCACACACACACAGCACACAGAAAACACACACACACAGCACACACACAGCACACACACACATTACACAGCACACACACAGCACACACACAGCACGCACACACAGCACGCATACACAGCACACACACACAGCACACACACACAGCACACACACACAGCACACACAGCACACAGCACACACACACAGCACACACACAGCACACACAGCACACACACAGTACACACACAGCACACACACAGCACACACACACAGCACACACAGCACACACAGCACACACACACATCACACACACACAGCACACACACAGCACACACACACACAGCACACACACATTACACACACAGCACACACACACACAGCACACACAGCACACACACAGTACACACACGCACAGCATACACACACAGCACACACACACAGCACACACACACACAGCACACACAACTCGCTGCAGTTTTCCAGGAGCCGCACGTTGCAACCGCAATGTTTCGAGAAGGAATCTCGCTGCTCTAACGGCGGAGGAGAGGCATAAAAGTTGGTGCATGGAGGAGGGAGGAGAAAGACGAGGATGGGTAAGGAGTAGGAGGAGGAGGGGGAGGGAGGAAGGGAGGGAGGGAGGTGTAGACGGTTAATCGTGTGTAAATGATGCGTGAGCCAATGCGCCTTTGTGTCGGAGCCGGGGGTCTCTCTCCTCTCGCTCACGCCTCCTGCTCCCCCCCCACCCCCAAAAAAAAAACCACAACCCCCACCCATCACTTTCCTCTTCACCAACGCGAACCTCCCCCCCCCCCCTTGCTTCCTTCCCACTCTCCGCCCCATCATTGTGCACCCCACCAACCCCACCAAGCCCTCTGTCCTCCCCTCCGACTCCTATTCACCTTAGACGATACGAGCCAGCGGCGTGCTTGGCACGGGCCCTTGTGCATGGGATTCAATGGGTGGTCCCGTCCGGAACCTCGTTGTCCCTGACGCAGTTGCACCGCCTGCACACTCGGCAGCCTACGCCCCAAACCCATCAACCCAACGGAACCCCACAAACTCACCCCCCATCCTCTCCCAGCTCCCTTCTTAGTACCAAACTCCGCTCCTAACCCCAACGAGTAGCAGCAGCAGCAGCAGCAGCTCTACCACCACCGCCTGGCACTCTACTCCATCCATCCCACACTCGTTGCCCCCCCCCCCACACCATCTCTCTCTCTCGCTCCTTCTTCCAAATATCCCGAACAGGAGGAGGAGGCTCTGCAGCTCTGCTTCCTTCCAGCGACTTCCATCGCCTCCAACCCACACCGCACCCCTCCCTCCAGGATCTCTCTCCCTCTACACCACCTCCTCCTCCTCCACTTACCCCAACCATCACCGGCACCACCCCACTCTCACCACCAAGCACATCAGCCCCCCCCCCACCTATCCCCCACCCACCCCCCACCACCCACCCCCACCACCCCCACCCCCACCCACCACACACGCTTGCACAGATTGAGTGACATTAATGGGCCTTGTAGACCGCGCCAATGATCTTCAACGGGTCCATTATTAATACTGTGGGTCTGTGGGGGGGGGGGGGGGGTGAGGAGGGGTGGGGGGGCGTCAGCGGGCAGTCCTTTATAAGGCCGGGTGCGTGTTGTGCCACTCATGATAACTGCATCGAGAGAGAGAGAGAGAGGGGGGCCCCAACTTACTCGACACTGCGGGGAACGAGCGCTGTGCAGACGCCCCCCCCCCACCTGCGCTCCCCTTTTCTCCCCCCACTCCCCCACAATAAGTAGACAGACACACAGACAGACACACAGACAGACACACAGACAGACAGGCACACAGACAGACAGACAGACACACAGACAGACACACATACACACACACAGACATACACACAGACAGACACACAGGCATACAGACAGACAGACACACAGACAGACACACACACACACACAGATAGACAGACACACAGACAGACAGACACACAGACAGACACACACAAAGATCACCCCCCGCCGCTTCCGCGGGAAGACATACACACACATATATATAAAGGCACTTACGACACGGAGATAGACAATCAGACGGGTAAGCAAAAGGAGACAGAGAGACAGACAGGACCGGCACACGTAAAGAGACACTCACAGAGAGATACGGAGAGGCACACCGACCTACAGACAGGGCGGGTATTCAGACAGACAGACACGCCAAGAAAGATACGGAGCGACAGACACTCGGGAAAAAGACGCAGTCAGACAGAGACACACAGCCGGGAAGATACTCAGAACGACACGGACGAGAACCACCACTCCTCGTGCCGCCCAGTAAAGCCTTCACAGACTTTTGGGGCAAGTGCTATTAGCGATCACCTACACAGACACACAGACGCAGTCACGCGCGCGCATAGATAGAGACACAGAGACGCGCATGCCACTGCACAAACATTAAAACAAAAACACACACACACCAAAAAAAAACCCATCTTCAACTCAAATAATTACATCTCCTCCCACCCACTCACCTTCTTGGAAAGAATAAAAAAATTATAGATATATCCGTGAGACCTCCTGCGAATTTTAGTTCGTTTCAGAACCCCCCCCCCCACACACACACACCAGGCAAAACAATGTCGACGTTCGCCAGCACCACCCATATTCTGTTCGCCGCTCAGGCCGTGGCGAGCGAACTTCAGGCGTTCAGGCCGAGCCTCTCGCTCAAGCCGTCCGGCCTCTCGTCCCTGGCCGAGATCATCACGTCGGACATACTGCACAGTTTCCTGTACGGCCGCTGGCGCAGCGCTCTCAACGAGCAGAGAGACGGCGGCGGCGTCGTTGGAGGAGGAGGAGGCGTCGTCGGAGGAGGAGGAGGCGTCGTCGGCGAGAGATCCAGCGGAGCGTTCAAGACGGCGCGCGGCATCGGCGATGCGATGGTCTCCGGCGTGCTGCCCCCGTTTAGCTTCTCGGGAGGTGAGTGATGAGTGGTGAGCCGTGTCCAGTTGCTGTGTCTGCGGCGTAGAAGGTGGGTGCTGTGTGTAGGGCACCGCGGTCGAAATCGTGGCACCTGCTGGGTCTGTCCCGGCGAACTCCTTGCCAGCTGGGGGGGGGGGGGGGGGTTCGACCGGCTTCACGTGGAACGTAACGCTGCACCTAGCCTGGCACAAGCGCCGTGGTGACGTTACCGATACTTAGTTGTTGTTGTTGTGTCTCTCTTGTGTGTGTCTCTTGTGTGTGTCTCTTGTGTGTGTCTCTTGTGTGTGTCTCAACTCGTGCAGGGGTAGCGTAACGGTTAGCGCGTTGGGATACGAACCCGGTGACCCGAGTTCGATTCCCGCTCACGGCCGACACCAGCGACGATTGTTTGAACCGGTCCTGGGCATCGACTAGGTCGACTCAGCCTCAAATGAGTACCTGGTGTGGTGTGTAAAATATCACCACTGGGGAGACAAAGACGGTCTTCATAGGTGCTCGCTAACAGCACTTGCCCCAACAGTCTGCTAAGGCTATACGGGGGATCTGTGTCTTTGTCCTGCACTTGCCCCAACAGTCTGCTGAGGCTATACGGGGGATCTATATCTTTGTATTGCACTTGCCCCAACAGTCTGCTAAGGCTATACGGGGGATCTGTGTCTTTGTCTTGCCCCAACAGTCTGCTAAGGCTATACGGGGGATCTGTGTCTTTGTCCTGCACTTGCCCCAACAGTCTGCTGAGGCTATACGGGGGATCTGTGTCTTTGTCCTGCACTTGCCCCAACAGTCTGCTGAGGCTATACGGGGGATCTATATCTTTGTATTGCACTTGCCCCAACAGTCTGCTAAGGCTATACGGGGGATCTGTGTCTTTGTCTTGCCCCAACAGTCTGCTAAGGCTATACGGGGGATCTGTGTCTTTGTCCTGCACTTGCCCCAACAGTCTGCTGAGGCTATACGGGAGATCTGTGTCTTTGTCCTGCACTTGCCCCAACAGTCTGCTAAGGCTATCCGGGGGGAGGGGTCTCTTTGTCTGTGTGTGTCTCTGTAGGTGACATGAGTGTGCGCCTCTTTGTGAGTCTGTGAAGATGTTCTCTGCCATGATGATGATGATGACTTTGTGGGATAACGATGCGACGTTACATTGTCAGCAGCGATCGTTGCGGCAATTTCGCCACCACGAGCAACATCAATATCACCACCACCACCATCATCGGCACTAACATTACCACCACCAGCAACCGTAGAACAACATCTGTAGCCGGGCGAAACATTTTCAGATTCGTACCACGAATGTGGAAGCCGCTTTTATATTTGAGCAATGAAGATCGATACATTTCATACAGCCACGCATACAATAATATGAAGGGGAAAAAAATTCGCTGAGATTTTATTATTTTTCATTGAATGATTTGACTTCGATGTCAATTTTTTTTACTGTCAAATTGTACAACTCGTCTCCCATCAACTTGTGAACCGATGATCATAGCACACGTCTGCGTCTCGCCATCGCCATCGTCATCTTCATCATCGTTGTCGTATCCCTCCTCTGTCAAGTTCCTGAGTGCAAATTGAAGGCTCGCGATTGCATTCAACGCGACCTCTTTGGAGCGAGTCCAAAAGTTCCTCCACCGAACGTGGAGCGAACTCGCTCCCGCCTTCGCCATTTCACTTTGGTCTCTTTCTGTTTCCTACATTTTTTTGCCTACGATCCCGGCGAAAAAAGGTAGCAATTGAGTGAAAACGGTGGCCGGGGAAATGTATGTACATTTCTATGTTTTTTCGGACTAAAAATCACGACGTGAACGTGATCCGTTCCAGACGTTGATATCCGCAGACGCTGTGGATTGTAACAACATCAGCATCGACATGTTTGGATTTTTTAAAAAATTGATTCACATTTAAACACGTGTTCAACTGACATAAAGAACAAAAACAGCGTGTCCTTTATGACATCGTCAGCAGCTTCAATGCACCTTTGCTTTGTTCGTACCCAGACAAAGCTTCACCGAGTCTCACGACTCTCATTAAGAGGGTCCTGCCGTCACGTGTCTGACACGTTCCCACTTTAATTCGCGTTGTGTCATCACATCTGTCGAGTTTTAACGATCAGAACGTGGCCTGATCAGTCGACTGAGCGGAATGAATCTTTGATTTCACTTACATATATAAGTATATTTGTATTCACATGTACGGGTATGTACACTGATATACTACATTTATATACTGCATTTATATACTGCATTTATATACTGCATTTATATACTGCATTTATATACCGCATTTATATACTGCATTTATATACCGCATTTATATACTGCATTTATATACTGCATTTATATACTGCATTTATATACTGCATTTATATACTGCATTTATATACTGCATTTATATACTGCATTTATATACTGCATTTATATACTGCATTTATATACTGTATTGACGGCGGCAACCTGAGTTCGATCCCGAGCCAGGGCTGACATCAGTGGCGAGTGATATCTACATTCATCTGAATCCGTCCTGATCCAATCCACCACCCGCCCCCCACTACGCTTCACAAACCCGCACTGAGCAGTGTGGTGAAGTATGGTCAAACAACTAAAGTTGATGATGATGATGCCGATGGCCATGATGATGGCGATGATGATGGCGATGATGATGATGGCGATGATGATGGCGATGATGATGATGCTGATGGCGGCGATGATGATGATGCCGACGATGATGATAATTTTCTTCCTCTGGTGGTAGTGGTATTGATGCATATTTATACAAATGACGTCAATTGATTCATCACCGTTCCATTCATCACCGTTCCATTCGCATTGACTTTAAAACAACAAACGCTTCCACGCAGCCAAGTTAAACCCGTAGGATTTCCTCGGCAATCCAAGGTACGATCCGTGTCTGTGTCTGGGTAAAGCCAACGTGGTCGTTGATGCCACAACATTCAGTCTGGGTCACTTTTGATAAAAAAAAAAATCCTGAACGCAATGAAAAAACCCCAAAAGACTTCACACAAATCAAGTAACCATTGGCCCCCCCACGGAGAGTTCTTCCCCTCCAACACTTAGCCCCCCACCCCACCCACCCCACCACCCTCATCCAAGGCCTCAATTCTCCACCCATCCCCAACTTTCAACCATGAAAAGTAACAAATTAAGTGGCACAATAGCGCTAATTGGGGCGCTCTGCACGCTTCGTCCAATACTCATTGACTGTAAGGCACGGATGAAGGGGCAGTGTTTGTAGAAGGTGGAGGAGGGGGGGGGGCAAGTGGGGTGAGAAGGGGGGGGGGTAGGAGGAGGATGGGATTGGGGAGGGGTTGGGTCAGAATTCAATACGAATCGTGCAATTCCCATCGCCATAGCGTCTCGTCCCCTTTCTCCACCGCGTCCACAGTTTCTGTGATCGCACGATTTTACCACCAAGCTAAGCAGGCATTTAGGCCGGGGATGGGTGATCACTCACCGCCCCCCCCCCCCCGCCCACCTATCAACGGGGAGGGGGGTCGACAGGGTAGTAAGATGCAAAGCTGCGTTGCACTTCTTTGAACAGCGTTCACGTGTTGTGACTCCCCCGTCTGCACCGACGATTCACCGATTCGGTGCGCGGTGAAGTGTGGAGCCCTCGCTGGTCGCGTGGGGGAGCGCCTGGCGCGGTGCGTAAACATCGCCACTGGGGGAGACAAAGACGGCCGGGACGTGGAGCTGTTCAGCCACCCCCTCGTGTACCGTGACAGCTTTCGTAGGTGCTACTCGCATACAGCACTTGCCCCAACAGTCTGTTAAGGCTTTACGGGGGAACTTTGTATTTTGTCTGTGTATATATATAATGTGATTCATCAGTTCTCTTATCGATATACTGCTGGATGAAGGCCTGATCATAACAGCAGTCCCCCGCTTCTGTAGCGTAATTTATCCACCTCCTCTCAACGTGGTGTGATTGGTTTTATATATGCGTGTGCATTTCATGTACGCGCATGCATGGACGAACTATGTGTATTTGGCTCAATAGATGCTCGCTAACACTGCAGTTATTTTCCAGAGCGTCATATAATCGGCATAAAACGATACAGTATATGGATATGAAAGCAAAATTGTTATTTAGAGATTCAAAAACTCGTTAAATTGTTAAAGCGGATTTCAAGTAACGTTTATCCAATTCGATCCCTAATTTATAAGTTACGTGCACGCGAAATTCTGTTTATTGGGTCGCCAAATAACTAGAGATGATGACTGTATATTTTGTACGCACACGCTGTATGTAATAGGTGCTCGCGAACAATTCATATGAATGGATTTTCAATTAAAACTCGGGGCAATTGCTAAACTTGTTACACCCGTATTCACTACATCATCATCATCACCAATCCACTGCTCGATTAAGGCATCCCCAAACGGTCACCGCCTCTCACGATCTTACAAAGACAAAGGGATCCCCCCCCCGTATAGCCTTCACATACGTGTGGGGCAAGTGCCGTTACCGATCACCTATTAAGGCCGGCGATGTTTCAGATCGAAATCAGTTACTGAGTCTACTCAGGACCGGTTCAGATAATCGTCGCTGGTGTTGGCCGTGAGCAGGAAACGAACTCGGGTCGTCTGATTCGCACACACACACACGTGTGTGTGTGTAAAACGATGCGTTTCCCCTACGATATCCGACGTTATGCGCTGCACCTGCTCGACACAAAAACGTCGGACATCGCGGCTGAACAACAGCCGATTGCGACCAGGAAACAGCGGAGAGAAACACAGCTGCACATCCGCGAACAATTTGTCTTAATAGGTGCTCGCAAACTGAACAATAATGTTCACTTCGTTAAACTAGATGGAATTCGAATGGGGCTTATCTATAGGGATAAGAGCCGTTTTACTTATTCGCTAAAAATGCGTTTAGTGGAATGAAATATACTTACACACATGTGTACATGTGTGTAAGTATATTTAACGAAACGAAACAGGTTGATTTCTCCACAAATCTGGCTCTTGCCTGAT